CAATTAGGTTTTCAAATTACAACTAACAGTATTAGCTAAAACAGAACTGATTCAAAATCCATATAACAACCTCAGTCATAATATCTACTAACAATCATTTTGTCACTACAGCATTTATGGAACAAAGGAAAGCCATCCTCTTTGGAATTGCCTTCATAGTCGTGTCGAAATATCAACCTTGGTCATCTCATGCCTGCAAAATAATGGAAGATTCCAATAGCCACGGATGATAAATTAAGAAAGCTGAAAATTGTTATCTTACTTCCGACAGAATCTAGTGTAGGTTATTAAGTCCAACAAATTCAAATAGAAAACAGTTTGCGTTAGGGTATATAAATATTGATCCTCATGAGATTTTTGTGCTTTATGAACTTGCCTTGGTAGCAATGTTGTTGGAAAGCCAATCCAGACCTTCATAAAGACCCTCTCCTGAAGTTGCACATGTACTCTGGATGTACCTGAAATAGAGCACCAATCCGTGTGAGCAAAATCTGTTTTAAGTTTCAAAATCAAGCTATCTAAATTCAAGTTTAAGTTTTCTAAGACCATATATTCTTCACCTTTCTTTCAACCAATATTCAGTGAGGATTATAAAAGAGCATAAAAGGTTGCTGATTAAAGAAAAAAAAGAGCCAAAAAGGAGATGGGTGTCCATGGTTTAAGTAAGGACCATACAAAGCAGAAATTGAGAGAAAATAAGCTTGTGAAAACCTTACCAGTGGCGCTGGCGGAGAGAGTGAAGACCAAGCTTGTCGGTTATTTCAGCAGCATTCATTGCATTTGGAAGGTCTTGTTTGTTGGCAAATACAAGCAAAACAGCATCTCTCAGCTCATCCTGAAACCAAGTTAATGTTTGAGATGTCTACAATGTTAATTCAACACTATGGCCAGAACAGTAAATTGTAGCAGCATAACTCACCTCATTCAACATCCTATGCAACTCATCCCTTGCCTCGACAATCCGGTCCCTGTCATTGCTATCCACCACAAAAATAAGACCCTGAGTGTTTTGGAAGTAGTGCCTCCACAAAGGACGGATCTGTAATTGAAAAACCCAGTTGGTCATGTTGCAAAGATGTCAGCACTATATAATAGTAAATGATTTATGGCACTAACATTTGAATTCTTAAGATATGGCTTCATGAATTATTATCTAATCAAATTGAATATGCCCAAAACTTGCAAAGATCAGGCAAATCTTATGATAAAAACCATGCTAGCATTAGTCTTTTAATCCATACCTTGTCTTGACCACCAACATCCCAAACAGTGAAGCTGATGTTCTTGTATTCCACTGTCTCAACATTAAACCCTACAGTGAAGAACAAACAGCTAAATCAAAATCATCATCAGAAATGTTGGTATTTTCACAATATTAAAATTGAAAACCTGTCAAGAAAAGAACCCATAGCCAAAGGCTCAAACCAAAGAAAATGTGGGGAGGGGGTGCAGCACTTTCTATTCAGAAACTTTTGGATCTTATCACAAATAGAAGTATGACTTCGCACCACAGTTAGTTCTTTCTTATTTTATTTTATTTTACAATCAGTGTTTCACTGGGACAAGAAGCGTTCATTAAGCAAGAACAAGGCACCTATCCCTGCTTAAATAATTATAAATGAGAAAGTAATAATACATAAAAAGATAAGGAAAAAGTGTTTTGCAGGTTGTCCTCTTAAATTTTTTTTAGAGAACCTGTCTAAAAACTCATTTTCTAATTAATATTTTCAAAAACCAATTGTAGGATTGAAAGTTATATTCATATAGATTCAATTTTCAAATTGTTCTAGTAGGCCTAACCACTTCGTTGATTACAGGAAATTCAACATCATTAAATATATGTCAGTAAATAGTCTTTTTTTTTTTTAATTTTATCAAAGGGTTATAAGTATTAGATCAATATGAAAATTGGCATGCATGATTTACATGAATAGAACTTTTAATCGAATGGTCAGTTTTTGAAAATATTAATTAGAAGGTGGATTTTAAGACAGGTCCTCTAAAAATAATTTTAAGAGGACAACCTGCCCTACACTATCCTCAATAGATAAATCATCATCTATAACAACAGAAAGGCTTATAAACACCTGACCCTGATAAAAAAAAAAAATTGGCAATTAAAAGTTGTCAATTAGCCACTAAGTATACATATCCTTCGCAAACCAACAATCACATAACAAGAAACCAAAAACCATCAAACCGATTACCAACTGATTTATATCAGAAGAACCTTAGCTAGTCATTTAAAAGTTTGAACTAATAATTTCCATCCCTTTAAAACTGATTACAATCCCAAATCCAGGCATCAAAATGAAGTTGAATTCCTCTTGAAACATTTCCCAACATGCAAAAATATAACTATGGTCTATGGTATCGGTACCAGCTTAAAACTCCAAGTTGCGGGGGGTTGAGATATGGAGACTCACCGATTGTAGGGATTGTGGTGACGATTTCGCCGAGCTTGAGCTTGTACAAGATAGTTGTCTTACCGGCAGCATCAAGACCCACCATCAGAATACGCATCTCCCTCTTGGCAAACAGCCGGCTGAAAAGCTTCGTGAACGTCAGCCCCATGTCTTCTTCGCTATAACTCACAACCCTGATGCCAAAAAATTGCAAAAGAATCCACCAAATCAAAAACCCACCAGAAAACAAAAGCTCCGTAATAATCGAACGCAGATGAACATATACAAATACCAAATCTTTAAACCTCGAAACGAAATCGATGGAACGATGCACCTGAAAGATGAGTTTGAATCAGATTTAAGGAGAAATTGTTTGGATTTACCTGTTGAGAGCTGGGAAAGATTATCTGAATTTGATCTAATGCTGTTGCTAGTGATGTGATTTGTTACTTTTATTTCTCCGCTATTTTCTTTTTTTATTTAATCATGACAATGATGAAGGGAATTGAACGGATTGGATTCTCTTGACATGTTGTTCTTTTTTTTGGGGCGCACATAGAATTACACTATTTTCTAGTGGCGCCAATTGTAAATTGCAAAAACCGTATTTCTTATTCCATTTATTTTTTTATACATAAAATTAAAAGAAATGTGAAATTCACGATATGCTGGGCATTTTAAGTATTAGAAATATTTGTAAAATTATTTAAATATTTATAAATTTTTTATATATTAATTTATTAAGAACATTAATTTTCTGTATCGAGCCCTTCGGATCAAATGGCAATAACCACCTCATGGTGCATTCCCTTCTCCTTGAGCTAGGGTTCGACCCAACCTCTCGTCAACTTGTTTAAAAAAAAAAAAGGAACATTAATTTTCTAAAATGATTTAACTATGTTTAATGAATATTTTTAATGAATTAATTCATTAAAAATATTTAAATTTTATTATTATTATTTACAATATTTTAATTGTCATAATATTTAGATTTTTGGTAATCCCATAAATTAATAAATAACCATGAGAAAAAAAAATACATAGATTTTTCAACTAATAAAATTTAGTAAGATTCTTAAATAAATAAATAAATAAGCTTTATTGTTTAACTCTAGATAACCATAAACATAATAAAAAAAGAACTCTACATAATCATGTTAAAAAAATTTATGAAAATGTTATAATTATAATTTTATGTGATATTATGAATTTATAATATAATGTGTTATTATATAATTAATTTTTTATTTAAAAGTTCGCTCATAATATTATACAAATTTATTAATTTAATATCATATTATGTTCATTTAACATCATATAAAATTATAAAATTACAATTTTATATGATATTACAATTATAACATTGCTAAAATAATCTATAAAAAAAAAATAATGACATGAATTCAATCAAATTAACTAATTAAGTCATTGCTAGGAGTGATAAATTTACTTCGATAACCTTACTTACATGGGATTTTTTTAAAGTATTTTTTTGAGAAAGTCCAAAGGAATTTTCAAAATCTGAATTGATTTTATGGGAGGATGAAATTTCATAAATCAAAGCTAGGAAGAGGGACTTGTACGGTTGTACCATACTAATCAAGAAACAAAATAAAGTTAGATATTCTAAATCCATATATATTTGGGCAAATAGAGATTAATAAAGCTAAAAAACCTCTAATTCTATATAACTCTCTCAAATAAATAAAAAAAAGGGATGAATAAATTTTTCATTGGATTGAAAGCAAGAGAAAAAAATCAACAAATATGACATGAATTTTGTTTTCAATTAATGTAAACTTTTTTTTTTACGGTGTTATGAGATCATTCACTTAATTAATTGATTTTTAAAAAGTGGTATCTATCTATTGAAAAAACCATTTTTAGCTTCAATTTTTTGATTCCTCTTCAAATTTCTTGTTCAAAAACGAGCATAGCATTAATCTCCATATATACAAGAAAAATTATCTCCATAATACAAGACTAAAAAAATAAATAAAATTGTGTGGTATGAAATGAAACTTCTATATTAAAACAACAAAAAGTTGAACGTGGCAAAACGAACACAATAATACAACCACTGCTAAAACGAATGAAAAGTCAAGGACAAAAATAAACTTATCTCAAAACTTCTGGCACGAAATAAATAATTTCAAAACATCGGGCCAAGAATTAAAATTACACAACAGAACTTCTAACCAAAATTTCCTTCAGCTGGTGAAGAGTGCTTTTGAAGTACCACTAAACACCCCTGCTTCTGTAATTACCTGTAGCTGATGAAAATCTAAAGTCAGCTTCCACCTTTTGTAAATTTCAGAAGCAGGAAATCCTAGCTTTTGCGTGGCCTTCTGGCTTCCTTTTTAATGAAATTTACCCATTATACTTATTTTACTCTCATATTTTAACAAAATTACGATTAAATCACTGGATAAACTGTTAACCTAATTTTGCGTTTCCCTTTGCCTCCCGATCAAAGTTATTAATATCGTACCAGCATACGTATTGGTTTTATTACTGAAACGATATGTACTAGATACCAGAATTTTTGGTGTACTGTTTCAGATTTATCGGTATAAAAAATTTTTGTGAAGAAATTTAAGAAAAATAACAAGAAAAGGACTCAATCGAAAAAACTAAAAAGTTAAGGATGAAATCTATCAAAACAAATCCACAAATCCACTCCAATATTGAGCCCACCAACAATTTAATTCAAGTTCCAACCCAATTTCATAGTCAAGCCCATCAAAACCCAAATTTAACAATAAAAGAAATCCTAGTCCCCTCTTTTAAAGTGTGAAAGAAACGGCAGACTACAAAAAAAAAAAAACAGAAAGCCTGTCGATATTTCTCCGTTCTCCCTTTTGCAGATCTGCGACGGCCACCGTCACCCTTGTTCCTTCACCTCCGACCTTCACCATCTCCCTTCTCCCTTCTGCAGATCTGCGACG